ATGCGAGGCCTTCCAAGGGGGTTTTGGCGACAGGTGACATTGCTCAAAAATGTGGCGAAATTCTCTTTCCGATTCACCGACAGCCGACAAAAACTGACAGAAAAAGGGCGACAATTTACGACAGCGACAACCCATTTTTATTTTCGACAAAGCGACATCCTTTCGCTTTGCTTTATTCGGCAGCGACATCGTTACCAGGCAGCGTGATTCCTTTCTGACCACGCCAATAAATCATTACAGAATCAATAAATATCATAAATCATTATTCAACTGTTGTCGCGCAGTCAGTCTCTTGTCTCCTGTTGTCATGTTATGGTACAAAGGTCGGGTCGTGTGTTGGCCCGTCACGATTTTTCCGTTTTTGCGCCACAGGCGCGAAAGTTCATCCATCTTTCGTTCAAAGGTGTTAGGTCGGGCGACTTTCTCAGGTCGGCAGATCATTTCAAGTTTTCATGGGAAAACATAAGAATAAATCACACAGTACTGCAAAGAAGAAGAAAAAAAAGTTCAAAAAGAGCCACAAGAGGAAAGAGAAGAAAGGTAAGCTGGTTTTAAGTAAAAATTGGAGGGTCATAATGGTCCATAATTGATCATAATTGAAGTTAATTACCATTATTACCTGCATAATGCTTTAAATAACTTGATGACCTTTATTATAGCACGGTCATGGCATTAACGATCATTGAGATTTAGCAGTGTTTCCCAATTAATAATTACCAATAATCCTATTCATATTCATAATATGGAGAGAGTAAACATTACGTTCACGGTGAACTGAGTTAACCAGCTCACAATAGTGCAGCCTGCGCGAAATTTGCGGTGAACACAAACGACGGCTTCTTTTTCAAATGTTCGTCTCATTTCTCAGTGCTTAAACAGTTACGTTTAATCGACACTTATACAAAACACTAAGTTAAAGAACCCTAGGCATAACTTAAAGATCATTAAAATGGAGCTGAGCTCAGTAGTGGTTCTCTTCGTTTTGCTAAGGATGAGTCAAACATTTGTCCATTCTCCAGAGTACCCTGCAAGAGTTCATTGAGAAAATAAGGAAATCCATACATTTATGACAGCCACATCTTTCATATGAACTGAGATCAGGTTTGTTCATTTCTTTGGTAGTTTGTTTGCTTTGCTTGGTTTTTTTTTTTTTTCATAAGGGAGTCTTTTGAAGTGACAATGAAAAGGTATGTGGTAGAGATGGCAAAGTCTATCCATTAATGACAGCTTGGCACCCTAGTGATTATTTAATTTGTCTTCCATGATCTTTTAAAGTGATGGCTGAGAGACTAATGGTTTTGATTGGGAAGGGATGTGGAATATATCTATTCTTAACAGCCAGGACCAAGACCAGATTTGTCTTTTCCTTTGTATTGCTTTGATTTGTTTGTTTGTTTTTAGTCTATTTTGTATTATTTGGTTTGCTTGTTTGTGAGGGCAAAAAGTGATTAGAGAAAGAAACGGTGAGTACAGAACCCCTATCCTCGAACCCTAAATTACCATTCATGATACTTAAATTCATATTTCTTGCCCTTCAGTGAAAGAGATGGCAATTGGAAGAAAGGTATATAGTGTAGGGCTCTAACCATACCCTTTTCTGCGCTCTCTTTGAACTTTCAAACAAAATGTCTTGTTCAACATAATAACTGTCCCTCCCACAGAAGGCATTTTGGTTTTTATTCTGACCAAGCCTTCCCCACCCCCTCAATATCCTCCAGTTTCTTTGGTTCAAACTTTTCTTTCAAAAATGTAAGCATGTGAGAACATCCTTCTCATAGGAAATTCTATTGACCTTTTTAAGTTGAGAAGCAGACAATATATATGTACATACTGAATAGTGAACAGACACAATGTCACCATTATCTGCTTTGTCCTCACAGGTAGCAGGCTTGTACTGAAACAGAAAGATAATGCATATAGAATACTTCAAGGAAAAATAGTCTATATGGTATTGACACACACAAGTTAGTTGTATGGGATATTGAACGAGTGAGTGCAGCAAACAAAACAGATTTCTGATACAAGCCAGCAAGTGCAGTCAGATCATGACGACATTATTTACCAGCTCTAGTGGCAGCACCTAAAGTAAAATAACAAATGAAAATGCCAGACTCCCTCATAATTTTC